AACCTGGCCGTATCTTCTTACTTATCCCGAGGTAACCTGGCAGTGTCTTCTTACTTATCCCGAGGTAACCTGGCAGTGTCTTCTTACTTATCCCGAGGTAACGTGTCTTCTTACTTATCCCGAGGTAACCTGGCCGTATCTTCTTACTTATCCCGAGATAATCTGGCAGTGTCTTCTTACTTATCCCGAGGTAACCTGGCCGTATCTTCTTACTTATCCCGAGGTAACCTGGCCGTATCTTCTTACTTATCCCGAGATAACCTGGCCGTGTCTTCTTACTTATCCCGAGATAACCTGGCCGTGTCTTCTTACTTATCCCGAGGTAACCTGGCCGTATCTTCTTACTTATCCCGAGGTAACTGGCCGTGTCTTCTTACTTATCCCGAGGTAACCTGGCCGTATCTTCTTACTTATCCCGAGGTAACCTGGCCGTATCTTCTTACTTATCCCGAGATAACCTGGCCGTATCTTCTTACTTATCCCGAGGTAACCAGGCCATGTCTTCTTACTTATCCCGAGATAACCTGGCAGTGTCTTCTTACTTATCCCGAGGTAACCAGGCCATGTCTTCTTACTTATCCCGAGATAACCTGGCAGTGTCTTCTTACTTATCCCGAGGTAACCAGGCCATGTCTTCTTACTTATCCCGAGGTAACCTGGCAGTGTCTTCTTACTTATCCCGAGATAACCTGGCAGTGTCTTCTTACTTATCCCGAGGTAACCAGGCCATGTCTTCTTACTTATCCCGAGGTAACCAGGCCATGTCTTCTTACTTATCCCGAGATAACCTGGCAGTGTCTTCTTACTTATCCCGAGGTAACCAGGCCATGTCTTCTTACTTATCCCGAGGTAACCTGGCCGTGTCTTCTTACTTATCCCGAGGTAACCTGGCCGTATCTTCTTACTTATCCCGAGGTAACCTGGCCGTATCTTCTTACTTATCCCGAGGTAACCTGGCCGTATCTTCTTACTTATCCCGAGGTAACCTGGCCGTATCTTCTTACTTATCCCGAGATAACCTGGCAGTGTCTTCTTACTTATCCCGAGGTAACCAGGCCATGTCTTCTTACTTATCCCGAGGTAACCAGGCCATGTCTTCTTACTTATCCCGAGGTAACCTGGCCGTATCTTCTTACTTATCCCGAGGTAACCTGGCCGTATCTTCTTACTTATCCCGAGGTAACCTGGCCGTATCTTCTTACTTATCCCGAGGTAACCTGGCCGTATCTTCTTACTTATCCCGAGGTAACCTGGCCGTATCTTCTTACTTATCCCGAGATAACCTGGCCGTGTCTTCTTACTTATCCCGAGGTAACCTGGCCGTGTCTTCTTACTTATCCCGAGGTAACCTGGCCGTATCTTCTTACTTATCCCGAGATAACCTGGCAGTGTCTTCTTACTTATCCCGAGGTAACCTGGCCGTTTCTTCTTACTTATCCCGAGATAACCTGGCAGTGTCTTCTTTCTTATCCCGAGGTAACCAGGCCGTATCTTCTTACTTATCCCGAGGTAACGTGTCTTCTTACTTATCCCGATGTAACCTGGCCGTGTCTTCTTACTTATCCCGAGATAACCTGGCAGTGTCTACTTACTTATCCCGAGGTAACCTGGCCGTATCTTCTTACTTATCCCGAGGTAACGTGTCTTCTTACTTATCCCGATATAACCTGGCCGTGTCTTCTTACTTATCCCGAGATAACCTGGCAGTGTCTTCTTACTTATCCCGAGGTAACCAGGCCATGTCTTCTTACTTATCCCGAGGTAACCTGGCCGTGTCTTCTTACTTATCCCGAGGTAACCTGGCCGTGTCTTCTTACTTATCCCGAGATAACCTGGCAGTGTCTACTTACTTATCCCGAGGTAACCTGGCCGTATCTTCTTACTTATCCCGAGGTAACGTGTCTTCTTACTTATCCCGATATAACCTGGCCGTGTCTTCTTACTTATCCCGAGATAACCTGGCAGTGTCTTCTTACTTATCCCGAGGTAACCTGGCCGTGTCTTCTTACTTATCCCGAGGTAACCTGGCCGTGTCTTCATACTTATCCTGAGGTAACGTGTCTTCTTACTTATCCCGAGGTAACGTGTCTTCTTACTTATCCCGAGGTAACGTGTCTTCTTACTTATCCCGAGGTAACGATATCAGACCATGTCTTATCCCGAAGTAACCAATACAAGGCCGTCGTCTTATCCAGAAGTAACATATTGCATGCTGAAATTGTGGTACATCCAATACCAAGGAACTTGCAATTTGTAGGGGGCCCCCGTAAAATGAGGTTTAGAATACGATAAAAACTAACGCAAAAATTATTAATTTAGAACTTCCACCCTTTTATTTCACACATATTGTGCCTTTTTTAACTTAAAAATCTATTTTAAAAAAAAACGCTACCTCCCCTATTAATATAAAAGCTAAAAACTACGCGCCATCTATTGAGCGTCTCCGCAAACTAGCGGATTCGGGTCGTTGACAAAGTCACAACACCAGGTTTGGAAATTACAGAAAGCCAACCTGCAGACGCTTAAGTTTAGCTGTTGTTTTGACAGGAGAGATGACCTTTATGTTTATAGATCAATATCCCATGTTAAAATTTCCACCCATAAAATTATACTCATAATTGAAGAAACGTGTGAAAGTAAATGGGGGGAGGGTATTCATCTTTGTTTATTACAAATATGCAAATAAGTTCTCATCAAGAATTTGTAAGAGTGAAAAAGAAGTTCTTTTTCCTGATTAGTCGTTGTGTTAAGGGGGGGTGATGAGAGGTGTGTCAACACATGTCACGTGACGTCAGGTTAATCAACAAATTCAGACGATCACTTGGCTATTCATTAACTGAAGTAAACTCGGCAAAAGATACCACTTAATTCAAGTCAAATAGGCTTAGAATTATGTGACAGCAGATTGTCCTAATATCCGGCCAGACGAAGGAAAATATTTGTCGTCCCTAATGAAATCTAAAAAAAAAAAGATCGTTTGGTATTTATAGCGGTTATTTGCTCTGTCGGCTGACTAGGAAATTACAACATGCAACCTCTCGTCTGCTCCAAATTTTTCCTGGAAGAATATGAAATTCTAATTCTTCCCTACTTGTATTTTCTTTTTCTTTTTTTTTTTTTTTTTTTGGCTTGATAAAATTTTAAATTAGTATAGATTGTTGTTGTGAATGATGAAATTTTTGAGTATTTTATATTCTCAAATGCACATTTACATATATATATTTTTGTATTTTTTTAAAGATTTTTTTTTGTTTAGGAGAAAATGGACTATCATATGATTGTAACAGAAGATAAAAGATTAAATAAATTAAAATCCTCTGGAGTAACTTGATAAAGAAAGAAAAATCAAAGATAAGGAGGATAAGTTTCTTTTATGAACAAATGATCAAGCTTTCGGGCACAAAGTCGACTTTGTGCCCGAAAGCTTGATCATTTGTTCATAAAAGAAACTTATCCTCCTTATCTTTGATTTTTCTTTCTTTATCAAGAAGATAAAAGAAACCAGCTGATGGTTTGTGCCTTCTCTATTGAAATAAATATTTATGAAACCAAGCGATAAATCCATAAATTGTTTCGGCTAATCTTCTGGAATAAAATTGAACGTTTAGTTAATATTTATTCCTATAGATGGCGCAAGCCATCAGCAACGTTCTGTTGCACTGTCTCAGGAGCTATATATATATTTAAATACATTTGCATACATTAATTTTGTCAAGTGATCTGTTACATATTTCCCTTTGTTCGTAGATATGTAAATAAGTCAACAACGCGCCATCTATATATGGGAAATGAAAGCAATAAAACACAAATGTCCGTGCTTTAATGTTTCATATTCTATATTTAAATATTGATGACAAATTTCCAGGGAGGATTTTGATCAAATTGTCCATCTATATTTTAGCCATATATATGGCCAAGTCACTCTGCCAGCTAAACACCTATTTGGCAGATTGTCAAGATTCCATTGGATTCCTTTTGGATTTCATGAAATAAAGTCTACCCTGGACTGACAAGGGCCATTAGCCCGAAACCATTTTCTCCAAGTGGGCGCTTCTCAGTTTTCTAAATCTGGTATTGTGGCTTTGTCACCGAACCGAATCCACTAGTTTGCGGAGACGGTCAATAGATGACGTCTATTTTGACTGGAGAGGTGACCTTTATACGTATTTTAATATAAATATAATTTTTGACGCGTATATTTTATTTTAAAAAGATGTGTCAAGATAGTTTCAATATATCATAACAGATGGGGCTCTCAAGCATCTTTTATTATTTCAAATTGTATTTTAAATATATCAATTAAATATATATATTTAAAATATTTACCATTTATCTAATGTGTATCAAACTATTTGTTGTCTCAGGAACGGGGATTTTAATGAGACAATAAATAATATAATTATTTAGACATAACTCCATTTTTATATATAAAATAGATTTTAAAGACAGTTAAAGTTGTGTCTTATTTGGAAGGTAAAAATCAAACTTCAATAATTATTTTTATTACATATAGGTGGCGTGATTTATTACCTTGTGTTTAATACTATAGATTTATAGATTGAAAATATCATTTTGGAGAGGATTCGAGAGTATAGAATTATAAAAGTCGATAAATTGTTGTTTAAAAAAAGAGCTAACTTTGAAAAAGTCTCCATTTTTATCCATCAGGTAAAATTATCCTTCGAAAGGAAAATTCTCGAAAATCATTCCGTCCAAATGAAACTTTTCCAATTAATTTAAATCAATGGAAAGTCAATTTAAAGTTAAATAATTTACTCTCAGTATGTATCGGTAGATGGCATAATTAATTAAATTTCTGAAATTATCTTTTCTTCATAGATTGTAGGTATTAATAATTCTAGCAAGGTATACTTCCTCTCAATCATGATCTGATACTCCCTGTGGCTTGAGATTATCTGAAGTTTTGGTTCTAGAATGATTTCCTCTCTATTGTGTACATGTTCTAAAAAATATTAAGAATAATTAACACCTCCAATACGTCCAGGGTAGCCTAGTGGACATGGCACCTGCCCGGTAAGCAGAAGGTTGTGGGTTCGATTCCCGCTCCTGGACACTTTTATTTTTCCGTTCGCCATTACTCTTCACATTTTCACCCTTTCATACGTCATCCAATCATATATAGACCATTACTCTTCATATATTCAACCTTTTCATACGTCATCCAAAAAGTTAGAAATAGTACATATTTCTCTTTGAAATTAATATTGATTTTCACAAAAAAAGAAACTTATGCGGGGAGGCTTTAAGTATTACTTTATAATCATACACCGCAGTCCTTTATATTGTATTTCTGTTTTAAAAATGTAAATCGACGCAATTATCCCTAGCCGGGATATCGCGTTTTGTGTGTTGAAATAAATGAAGGCGGCAATGCCGAAAGAGGAAGAAAGCTAATCGCCAATACTTCCGCCAACCGTAAGATCATCAAAAAGCGACTTCAACAAAATTCGAGGTTGTCCAAGTGAAAATTCGCCCGCGAGACCGGCATAAGCAAGTCGTCGGTACATCGAATTGCGAAAATGGAACTCAACCTCAAGGCGTACAATCTCCTGTTCAGCTCCTCACAAATGAGAACAAGCGCGTACGGCTGGAAAGATGTCACCAACTCAAGCATCGGGCCACTGGTCAGCGATGTGAGCGCATCCTCTTAACGAACGAGAAGCTGTTCACCCTCGAGCAGGCGCACAACCACCAAAACAACAGGAGATGGTCCGCTGAGGCTCCCGGCATGTCGACCATTGTCGAACACCGCCAAAATTCGCAGTCGGTTATGGTATGACCCGGGATTTGCGCCAGTGGCAAGACCCCCTTCGTTTTCGTGGATCAGGGGGTCAAAATCAACCAAGATGTTTATCGCCGTGACATTCTCGAGTCAGTCGTACTCACGTGAGCTTAACATCACTTCGGCGATGCTGATTGGACGTTCCAGCAGGACTCCGCGCCGGCTCACAAGGTGAAATTGACTGAGGACTGGTGCAGGGTCCATTTTCCGGACTTCATCACGTCGGCGAAATGGTCTCCATACTCACCCGATCTCAACCCCACTGATTACAGCGTGTGGTCCAGGCCAGGGCCCTGTATGAAGTCGCTGAGGCGATTGCTGCGCCTATAATGGGACCGATTGTCACCGGAGGACCTGCGGCTCATTGCCGATAATTTCAAGTCGCGTTTGAACCTTTGTATCGTCACCAAGGGAGGCCACTTTTAAACCGGCTGAAATAAAAGTTAGTTAGTATCCATAGTATTGTTATTCATTGTTGATTTTTCAATTTTTTTATTTGTTTAATAATGTTTAACTACTTTTTTTGGGGGGGTACACCCTGTATATTTATATTATTTTAAAACTAGTTTCTTCAGACCAATATAGGATGTATTAGTTTTTTAAACAAATAGGTATTGTGATAGAGTTTTTCATGACTCGCTCAAAAGATCCCAGTATATGCTCTCAGTACAATACCATGAAGTGGAGTGTAGTCAATTCCCAAGGCACCAATTCTGTTTTAGAATTCCTGACCAATAGGAGATTCCATGAAATATTCATGGCAGCGTGGCAAAGTTTAATGAATGCGTGTCATAGTAATTTAATCATTATCAATTATAATTATGTGTAATCTATAATTCCCCCCGTATGTTAATTATTAGGAAGTTAGGTTTAATTAAAATATATGAGAACCTATATATACTGGTTGAATTAGTATTGCGCGCCATCTATTGGGGAGATTCATAACCATTTATTAACTGATATTTACGTACAATTATAGGTGAAAAAATAAGATAAAATATTAGAAAAAACTCAGATGTTGATATTAAAAACAAAAATACATGTCCTGACCGCTTGAAAAAGCATTTTTAGATGGCATATTACCATTTATTGAAATAAAAATCAACTAAACGGTGATTTTTACATGTTCCGTGATATTTTTTAAGGATACAGAGGTAATTTTGTTCACACTTGGTTATCTCGTGTCTTCAATGAAGGCCACTGTAATATCTTTGAGAGTTATTGTCTGAATCCCGATATACATGCTAAAAGGTGCATCTTCATTAAGTTTTGTCCATGAATGTAAATCAATTTTTAAATTCTCAACATCTTTAAATTTTAACCTTTAATTTTTTTTTTACTTTACTTTATACAAATACGTAACGCTAATTTTATAAAATCGCGAACATATAGAAGGATATATGTTAGAATTCAGAAATTCCACTGAAGAGATTGACAGGGGGTGACTAAAACGTTGGGAATAAAATAAAAGTATTTGATATTTAGCTGTTTATATATAGAGAGATATTCTTTAAAATCCTCATAACACTTTTTATTTAAAAAGTTTATTTAAAATAATTCGTGTCACGGGGAGTTTTCTTAACGCCTTATTTACATATATATACAGAAAAGCATCTCGTGATTATGCAACTTTACAATGTTTATGGCTTTCTCCATTTATCGTAATAATTCAACATTGATTTATTTTATTCCATAATGTGTAGTCTAAAAAGTATCATGAAAAAAACTAAATTAAAAGTTAAATAATTGATATTTATTCCGATAGATGGCGCAAGCCATCATCAACCTTTATTTACATACTGAATAAATAGTTTCCTTTATATTACCAACCTGATTTGATACATTTTTCATCTCATTCTATTGTTTATCATTGTTCTATTGTGTCTATTATTTGCATAACATGGAGATAATATGAGATAGATTCATGGAGAAAGGCTGCCTACACTTTACTTACTTAATCCCCCCCCCCCAGCCTTATCATGTTGAGATAAGAGAGAAAAAGTTGTTCCTCAAATTCATCATCAATTATTCATCATCGTAATTAATGAACCAATTAGAAGTTTTTTTAATTATTTCTATGAAATATTGATCCTGAGATCTAATAATTAATTATTATATGACAGCCATATTTCACAGTTTTTAACATCGTTTTCTCTTCTTTCCTTTCTTTCTTTTCTTCTTTATCAATCTTTAATTACCTTGTATACTTAACCCAAGTCTTCATTATAGAAGAACTACAGGCAATGTTGTCTGAAGATACTTTTAAATTTCAAAATACACTCATAAACCTAAGAAAGTTTTATATTTTAAACATAAACCTTATTTGCTTATGTAACGGCGGATTGCACATATATGTAAATTGGAACGTTCTCCTTAAAAAAATTATATATATAAAATAATAATATATACATAATAAAAAAGGTTCAATTTCCTTAAGTTTTTTTTTCCATGAGTGTATGTTGTGTATTATTTATCGTTGATTTTCTATACTCTGTTTCTTATCATCATTCACGTTCGAATCAAAAGATACTTCAAGAATAAATTGTTTTTGTATGTAAACAAATGTCACATTAAATATGAAGACATAACGGTGTACAATTTTCAGATACGTGAAATGGATTTACATTATATAACTGTAGTTAAATAAACTAGTTTGTCATTTAATTTAATATTTTCCTCTCTTTTATACAGTATTAGAGCTCTGAGAAGCGGTCTGGTAGATTAAATTGGCGAAACCGCTGGGAGGGTTCACCACTGATGAGCCAAGCCCTCCTAATATATTTTTCATCACAGTAAGGACAGTAGAGTTTGTATTATATATAAAAGAAACATTCGTGCTTTTAAATCCTTTCATTTTATATGCATGGATGGCGCGTTATTGCTTTGTGTCTTTTTTATTTATCAACTTTTATAAATAATTACTTTTTTAATAGAATACTATTTTTAAAATAACGAAATTTTCAATAAATATTAATTACTTTGTTTACATCTTCTGGATATATTTAATAAATAAATCCTTTCGTAATAAGTTTATTTTATTTACTTTAACCCCGCGAGATCTAGCTCTTCAACAGGCCAAAGGGGATAGGTTAAGTCACGGTTAAAGTTAATATGGAAAGCATAATACGGAATGATTTATCTTTTATGTATCCAATATATAATTCAATATATTAAGAACTGGTGAAACCGCTGGGAGGGTTCACCACTGATGAGCCAGGCCCTCCCATTAATTTTTCCATTGCAGTAAGGGCAGTAGAAATTGTTTTATTTTTAAAAGAATCATACGCGTCTATAATAGTTTCGTATTTTGATAACAGATGGCGCGCTAATGCATCATATTGTTGCACCAAGTTGAAGCTTTGCAGGGTCGTCGACCTTGGTTTCTTCCTTCTTGGTGTTATACACGTTTCCCGAGCGGGTTTCCATATTAAAAGTAAATAAATAAAATTAAATAAAAATAAATTACCTTTTAAAGTTATTGTGTTTATTTATTCTTGTCTTCCTCGTAGGTTGCGATCCGCAGTCTTCGTCTAGGTCCTCTCCCGCCCCAATCAGCATAAAAGATATATGTACAATAAATATTTAAAAAGGAGTGAAACTATAAAAAGGAATGATGCTAATCTAAATATTCTGTTTTAAATAAATATTAAATATCATAGAATATTTTGAATAAATGTAAGGCGCATTAAAATTGATGTAACACTTCCCCCTCTCCAGAGGTTGTCACGTCCTCGTGAATGACCTCATCCATTCTCTCATAATAAGGCTTGATTCTTGAAACATGAACTATCAGAGGGTCTTGGCCCGGATTATCTTTCGGTTCTATTAGATAATTGACGCTAGACATCTTTTTTAATATTCTATATGGACCAAAATATTTTCTCAGAAGTTTCTCACACATTCCTATTTTCCTAATTGGTGTCCAAACTGCTACTAATTCTCCTGGTTCGTAGTTTCTTTCCATGTGTTTCTTGTCATAGTTCTTTTTCATTCTTTCTTGAGTCTTTATTGTGTTGTTAATAACTAATTTTCTTGTTCTGTCTATTTTGTCTAAGTGATGTTTTATGTATTCATCATAATCATCCTTGTCAATGTCCACCGAGATATTCCTGTCGTCCAAAAGAGACGTGGGTTCTCTTCCAAACATTAGGAAAAAGGGAGAATATCCTGTGGTTTCCTGAATTGTAGTATTGTAAGCGTGAGTGATGAACGGGAGTATTTCGTCCCAATTCTTCTGATCAGTGTTCACATACATACTGAGCATATTGAT